AAAAGAAAAGCAGGTGCTATTGTACTCTTCCATCACTGTGAATATGACATAGCTATGAATGCTAAGGGAAGCTGTATGTGAGCCTCAGGATGAAAATCAAAACGATGAAAAAGTCATCTCAGCTGAATTTAGTTGACTCACTCCTGTATTACACACATGTAAGAAAAGGATTAGGGGGACATTCAATCACAAAATGTCTAGATTTCACTGTAAGGTAGTAATGGCTGAGCAGTTTCAAACTTCTACATGGATTACTGATTTCATCCTCTTACTCTCTGACAAAAATATTTAAATTTAGGTCTATCTCTACAAAAGACCAAGATTTGAAAAACAGAAATTGAGACAACCAAGTGTATTTAAAGATAACAGGCAACAGATAGTGTGAAAAATGATTACCATACACTTTAGAAATTAACCTTAGGCCAAATTCCACCAGGACACCAATGGATAGGTTCTCCGATAAGCTGGCTAAATAACCAGTATCAGGGAAGTGATAACTAGATAAAAAGTTACAAGGTTATATAAGCGCAAATGTCTCTCTAAGAATCTTCAAGGGATTTCTACATTTACTGCATTCACTACAGTCTACAGACTGCAATTTCACTTAAGGTTGGTCATATAATTGTGAGATGGTATTACATTATTGATAATCTTTTTCTTTTTTTTTTGCGGTACGCGGACCTCTCACTGTTGCGGCCCCTCCCGTCGCGGAGCACAGGCTCCGGACGCGCAGGCTCAGCGGCCATGGCTCACGGGCCCAGCCGCTCCGCGGCATGTGGGATCTTCCCGGACCGGGGCACGAACCCGCGTCCCCTGCATCGGCAGGCGGACTCTCAACTACTGTGCCACCAGGGAAGCCCTATTGATAATCTTGAAAAGAAAAAAGAGCCCCTTTAAAAAAGTCATTGTACCACTGAGCACAGTATTTCCTCCAAAGAGTTAAAGCTATGAGGTAAAATAATAAGATTTTCTTATCCTCATAGCTGATTCCATACTCACATGAAAAGTAGAACTAACCCACTGCATTTGATAAGCACCCGTGGCAGTTGTAAATTTTTTCAAGCACAGAAAAGAAATAAAAGGTGACAGAAAAACAAATCAATCTAAGGTGATTGGGGAAGATAACTGGATAAAGAAGAAAAATAATCCTCCATAGCAACAAAATAGAGGAGATTATTTATGTCCATTTACAAGTAGATGAGCTCCAGATGTATTTTCTAAAAAACCTACTTCTCTCCGGGTGTTTTTTTGCTTAATAAATATAACATCCAAGTTGGAATACTGTTGAAGCGTTGAATCACCTAAATCTTGGCGATGCTCCTTCTTCTGCCGTTAACTATTTTGAGCTATTTCTCAATAAAGCAGCCGCTACTGAAATCATAAGTACATAGGCTTGGCACAGCCAGAGAGAGAAAGTGCAGTCCACGGATTTGTTTCTTCTGTTTTCCCAAAACAGAATCTTATAAAAAACATGCCCTCCAATTTTGTCACTATGTAGCTGTCAGAAAGAGAAATTCTGCTCCTCTTCATATCTCTGAACATGAAACCCATTTCTTGTGCTACTGGGAAGTTATACAGCTCCAGGAAGTTGTGAGGCACCATCGCAACTATTCGAATTGTATCCAGGCAGAATAATCAATCAGAAAACTTCAGTTCCAGTTGGATGGAAGTTTCTTGGGCCAACTTGGAAAAGCACACAGAACAAGTTTGACTTTACTGCCAAGATCATTTCCAGGACATTGGCTAATTAATTATAAAAGCTTTTTCAAAACAAATTTGAGCCTGGCAACCATTTTTCCCTACCCAAACAGAGAAAAAAACAGGTTAAAAAAGAAAAGCCCCAGTTTATTGTGTGGTTTTTTTGTTTTTTGTTTTTTGTGCCATGGCTGCATCTTCTTAGCAAGCCCATTTTCTTCTTCTCACCCTAAAATGATTGAGGAGCATTTGTATTTGAAGTTAATAAAATTGTTAAGTATAGAAACAGGAAATAATTAGTTTGAATTTGTACTCTACCTTTAGTTATAGAGGAGATGAATGGGTCAATTACAAAGCTTCTCTTCAAACTTTTTGGTGGGAAGCAAAGAATGGAGTTTCTTTCTCTTTGGAGGAATGAAGGGCTCATTGGATGAGCTATGCCTATTGTATTAGATAAATGAAGATGATGGACAGTCGCTCTTATAATGATATACTCATCAACTACAATTTCTGGCTTTGAAAACAAAAAGAACAAACCTCCTGAATCAAATCTTCCTGGTTTCATCTTCACATGAACCTTGATGAATATGAGATGTCGGAGACAGGCATCAGAGATTCTGGTTTTAAGGACCACAAAGGCTTTATAGTGTTGACTTAAAAAATGCACAATGTGAGAGTTGCGAGTTAAGTTTTATCTGGGGCACAATGAGGACTGCAGCCCGGGAGACAGCAGGGGAGAAACTGCTCCAAGGAGGCAGGGGGAGGAGCCAGGATATATAAGAGTTTTGCAACAAAGGGCAGGCAGTCTAAACGTCACAAGATTAATGTTAATTAAAGAAAACCAGACATCTCAAGTTAAGGAATTTAGCACTTTTTTATATATGGGAAGATGCAAGAGTCAGAGGTCACTGAAATCATTCCTTTGATAGGCACCTCAGCTATCTGGGGCCAGGATCCTGTATTTTCACATCCTGAGTTTCCTCAGGACTCACCGTAGGGAGTCTGTTGGCTGCTAGATGGCAGGTGTTCTTTTCAGCCCTGAGTTTCCTCAGGGCTCACCAGCTCACGATGGAGAGCTGCAATCCTTGATGACTGTGACATCCTTTGTTTATTAATATGGCAGGAAATACTCCATTTATAAATATCCCATTCCATTTATAAATATTCCATTTATCAAGAGCAAAATCAACACCCTATATCATAATGTTCTAACCTATTTCTTCTAACACTGGAATCAAAATCTCATGTAATACACATCATAAGTCATCAAATTTCTTCTGCATACGCTCAGATATGAAGACACCCAGGAAGGTAAGAAATTTCTCTCAGCGTTTACCAGCGGCAATTGACAAACTCCTGACAAGAAAAGAACTGTCCCCAATAAAAGAAGCCTTCCTGAAAAAGTGTCAACCAGATATTCCTGACTCTGCCTTATCCAAGCCCCTGGCAAATCTCACGATCAGAATGTCGTTTGGTAAATGCTGTATGGAGCTAAAATGTACAAAATAGTTCTGAGGAAAATTCTCAACAAGTCCTAGTGGACTGAGGTTTCCCCTTCACTACTGGTATGAACCTACCAATGAATCCAATATTTAAATGATCTTCTCAGAAGCCACTGCAATGAGAAGCCCTTGCACCACAACGAAGAGTAGCCCCCACTCGCTGCAACTAGAGAAAGCCCACACGCAGCAACAAAGACCCAACGCAGCCAAAATTAAATAAAATTTAAAATTTTATTTAAAAAATAAAAATAAAAAAAGGGCTTCCCTGGTGGTGCAGTGGTTGAGAGTCCGCCTGCTGATGCAGGGGACACGGGTTTGTGCCCCGGTCCGGGAAGATCCCACGTGCCGCGGAGCGGCTGGGCCCGTGAGCCGTGGCCGCTGAGCCTGCGCATCCGGAGCCTGTGCTCCGCAACGGGAGAGGCCACAACAGTGAGAGGCCCGCGTAACGCAAAAAAAAACGAAAAACAAAAACAAAAACACATTTCTTTAAAAATAAAATAAAATAAAAAATAAAAGTGAATGTAAACTGCCTCCAGGAAGCAATAAATAAATAAATGATCTTCTCCCACAGTATTTCAAGAGGTAGGCCAATGGTAGGGAAGAGAGCTATAGCCATATTAGCATTTAAGGTTGGGGGGGGGGGCAGCTGTAAAAGTCAAGAATTAATCTCAGTGCAGAGGTGGAGGTAATTAAGCCAAACCAAAGCAGAGTCTCTCTTCTGGGAAACACATGTAAGTTACGATGAGAAAGATTACACCAGATTTCAGAGAATCTTAAAAGTCGGGATAGTCTGAACTTAACTTGATATAAGCCATTATATGCTTTTGATCCAGGGGAGAAATATAAGAGCAATGATATGAAAAGTGTATTGAATTGGGGGAAAATGGGGACAGGATTAATTCCCAAGGCTTTTCTAGCAATCTGTTCTGAGGTAATGAAGGCCCTACTAGGGTACTGTTGTTTAGAAGGAGAAGGAAGAAAGAATCCAAAAGCCATTTCACAAGAGAGAACATAATTTCACCTTCCCCGCACTTTTGAGAGTTCACCAAGGTCTAAAAAACCTCTGTCATTTAAAGAAGAACATTGTTGTAAACAAGGCTTCATTGTCTTAGAAATATATAATTCAGATTTCTTTATTCAGGTAGAATTTTCAACCAATTAGTCCAAATAACTCATTTCATTTTTTAATGTAAAGTGCAAAATTATACCCAGTCACCATTTTCTACTAGTTTCAAGCCCAGATAACCACCCAACTAGGAAAATGGACCAGTTTCTGCCATATTCTTTTTAAAAGAAAGCAAATCGAGATTCAAAACCTAATTACTTTTCATTTCAAATAGGTTACTTACTATATGCTTTAATAGACAAACATACAGCTAACAAGACTGTCATTACCTTTGCCTGAAATATCCCCTCAAAGTTAACAACTGCCAGCATTTCCTTGCCCTTTACAGTTTACCAAACCAGTTTTTTCCACAAATCATCTTATTTAACCATCACAATAAACTTGAGGTAGGAATTAGTATTACTATTTTAAAGCTAAGAGAACTGTAGCTCCAAGATTTAAACTGCCCAAGTGAATTCATCTATAAGAGCTGGAGTAGAGACTCTTATTTTCTGAAATTCAAATCCCTTCACACACTGCTTCCCCTTCCCTCAGAGAAAGTGAACAAAACAAAACAAAACAATCTACACACATTGGTTCATTTTAAGTTAGAGGACCACCATTTCTAATCTTTTCCTAGCATCTTCTAGATATACATTTAGTCTTACATTTCAAAGAAGCAGGAATTCTTTGCTTACCTGGTCCTTCTCTGGCTTATCAGAGATGTCATTCAGACTGGAAGAAGTCAGATTCCTGTGGGCCATGGCTGGGCTACCTGGAAAAACAGAAGTGAACCCTAATTAAAGACTTCTTGTTAAAAACACAAAGAGTTTGGTTGTACATTTCATGACCACTAGTAGATGATGATGGGAATGGTGATGATGCTTAGGCTACATTAGGATTCTCCTGAACAGGTTTCCAGAGTTGAAAAGTTAGTTTAGAGCACTAACATGGTTAAATGAAAAATGTATAAAACCCCAAATACTTTCTTTAAGTCTTCTGGCTCCATTTCAAGATAAGTTAAACTTTCAAAGAAATATGTAAAACAATAAGCATAAAAATAAATTCACTCCTGTTTTTGGCTTGCCTTTTGTTACTGCCCTTTAGACACATCCTAATCTACCTATTTCTATTGCCTATAGAGATGGGCTTTTTCCTCATCTCAGTAGAGCCAGCGCCAGGGGAAAAAAAGGCCTGGACCTCCTAGGGCACCACTTGCTCTGATCAACCCAAAAAGCCATCTGCACTCCATTCTCTGCCTAACACTTTGATCAAGAATATTTCTCCTTAGTGGACATCTGATCCAGAATCCCCATTCTTTGCCTCAAAGCAGTGTTATCACAGCTCCCCTTATTTCCTGCATTCCCATTTGCCAGACTGAAGTAAGTGTATCCCTTCTTCCCCTTAACACGCCAAACTTATTCAAGTCAAGCGATGGATTTCATCAGGAATAATCCATGGGAACCAAGCTCCCCGGCTGTAAAGCTGCCATAGGTAAAATCCATTGTCAATCCAGCCAGTGACTTCAGACATGGTTATATGAGAACAGAGAGGAGGGACATCTAGAAGAGGGATAGACCATTTTCAAATAGACTCTGGTTAATCAACAAAATACTGAGCTTTCATTCTGCAGGTGAACCTGAAATTTCCAGGCTTACTAAGCAAAAGAGTAATTCTTCAAAGCCAGGATGTTTAACCCCCACCCCTGCAGGGTGCTGAGTAATGGGTTCACCATTTAATCCCCTGTGATCTGACTCAGGCTGGTCTTCACACCAAGAGGACAAGGGTTGAAAAACAAGCATCAAGGTTCGAACACAGCTTCACATTTACTTCCACGTAATTCTTTAGATTACAGATTTCCATTCCTTCAGACCAAACCTTCTACACATAATTTTGCAAAAGACTCAAATCTACCCCCTAATAATTTAACGTCTATATAACAGCAGCTCTTTAAATAATATAATTGTCTTTAACTACTAGATCAATTTTCTTGAGTTGGCAAAACAGGGTATTTTCCACTCTGCTGCATTTCATTGAGTAAGCATGGCCTAGATCTCTTAAACACTTTACCTGGTAAGATGTTTTATTCTAGGAAAATCTGAGCCCAGGGCATTCTTCAAAGGAAAGTAACATGTGAAAAACTGCTTTATGAGCAAAATTAAAAGAAGCTCTTTGAAAGCCACATTTTCTTCTCTGAACCGCGTACTAGGTTTCTAGTGTCCACTCAGTGCAAAAGACACCAAGACACCAGGCCCAAACAAGAATGCCTCCAAATGATGCTGGGCTTGAAACTAAGGAAATGATGAGTACATACAATTTTATACTTTACATTAGAAAATAAAACTAGTCTTTTGGACTAAATGGGTGAAAATTCTACCTGCATAAAAGTCTGAACTAGATATTCTTAGTGCAATGAAGCCTTAGCAAATCCTTAATCATAAGTTAAAAGCAACTTATGTAAATGAATAGATGAGATTGATTTCTAATTATTAAATCAATTGTACATAAGCAGCAATACTGAAATGAATTTGAAAGCAATTTTTCATTAAGTAATTTAAATTTCCTGGGCAATATTCTAAACTCCCTGATTTGCTTTGGAAATTCTTTATAAATACTACAAAGGTACATACATTTCAACTCATGCACTGTCCTAACTGCTGCAAAATATGAATAAGTAGAAGCCAAATGAATAAAGTTTCCATTATAATGGTAATCCTAACTGATGTCACAACTTTTCCAAGAAGCCTCATATACTGTCTCATTTCTCTCATTTCTGAAAGACAGTTATAGGATGGCTATCTATATTTGTACTATATGGGGGAGTAGGGAGGCACAGGGATAAGGAAGTTGCAGGAACCAGATGGGGAAGAGGAGGCCAAGGTTAAGAAACAATCACATCTATTGTTCCTTCCAACCTTATCTGATTCTCATTAATAAAAGTAATATTAACAGCTTCACTGATGTTTAACTTTGTACTACACTGAAAGAATTCAGAAGTCAACACTTTTAGGTAAACCTTAAGCAAGATGATCAGCATTCTTGCATCTTTTCCCATCTCCCTCCCTATCAAACTCTCCACCCCTACCCTGCAACACCCTGAACCAGGGACAAAAGCTTCCCAATGTTCTAAATCAGTGGTGGCCAAAGTGTGGTTCCCAGACCAGCAGTAACAGCATCACCTGAGCACGTGTTAGAAATGTAAATTCTTGGAACTCACCCCAGACCAGCTATATCAAACTCTGGGCAAGGGGTCTAGCAAGGTGGGTTTTAACAAACGTTTGAAATGATTTTGAAGCAAGCTAAAGTTGGAGAACCACTGCCCTAAATAAATCAGTTATCTTAACCGGAGGCTGTGTCCGGGTCAGAACTGAATTGAAAGAAACATATAACTTGACGTAGCAAGAGAGGTAGCTCTGATAAACTTGTCCTCCTCCAAGCCACTGCTCCGAACTATCATATCTCAAGCAAATCATAAAGTTAGCATCCTTGCCACATAAACACACACAAAAAGATCATACATGGCCCTTCCTCTAAATCCTCGCCTACACAGTCAAATAAATAAATAACTTTGTTAACAGAACTCACGGTTTAATCAGACTTTTCCAGAAACATATCACCCAAATCAAAGAAGACAATGACAAGATATTACAAACCAGATTATATCTGGGAATCAGAAATTTCCGTGTGGCACTTTAGCAAACCTGGGAAACTTACACAATAGGACCCTAACAATGTTCTACTGTGGATATTTTGCACCTAACAGTCAACAAGACACATTGTCAGGATAAGTCAGTGCCTTCTAGAGTTTTGGCCTATAATGTGAACTCATTATACTGCAATCTTGAGTGAGTGGGGGTAGCACAGGCAAATGTCACCTTGTAACAAAAGGTGAAATACAAGCCTACCCCAAACCATACTACTTATTGTGCAAGTGATGATTCACCTACTCAAAGCTACCACTAATAGGCCTTTTCTATCTAATATCCAGGGTAAATGAACATCTCATAACTGGCCTCGGTTCAAAGGAACTTTGTTTATTTATTTATTTATTTATTATCGTTGAATTTTATTTATTTTTTTATGCAGCAGGTTCTTATTAGTCATTCATTTAATACACATCAGTGTATACATGTCAATCCCAATCTCCCAATTAATCACACCACCATCCCCACCCCACTGCGGCTTTCCCCCCTTGGTGTCCATACGCTTGTTCTCTATGTCTGTGTCTCAATTTCTACCCTGCAAACCGGTTCATCTATATCATTTTTCTAGGTTCCACATATATGCATTAATATACAATATTTGTTTTCCTCTTCCTGATTTACTTCACTCTGAATGACAGTCTCTAGATCCATCCACATCTCTACAAATGACCCAATTTCATTCCTTTTTATGGCTGAGTAATATTCCATTGTATATATGTACCACATCTTCTTTACCCATTCATTTGTCGATGGGCATTGAGGTTGCTTCCACGTCCTGGCTACTGTAAATAGTGCTGCAATGAATATTTGGGTGCATGTGTCTTTTTGAATTACGGTTTTCTCTGGGTATATGCCCAGTAGTGGGATTGCTGAGTCATATGGTAATTCTATTTTTAGTTTTTTAAGGAACCTCCATACTGTTCTCCATAGTGGCTGTATCAATTTACATTCCCACCAACAGTGCGAGAGGGTTCCCTTTTCTCCACACCCTCTCCAGCATTTATTGTTTGTAGATTTATTGATGATGGCCATTCTGCCTGGTGTGAGGTGATACCTCATTGTAGTTCTGATTTGCATTTCTCTAATAATTAGTGATGTTGAGCAGCTTTTCATGGGCTTCCTGGCCATCTGTATGTCTTCTTTGGAGAAATGTCTGTTTAGGTCTTCTGCCCATTTTTGGATCGGGTTGTTTGTTTTTTTAATATTGAGCTGCATGAACTGTTTATATATTTTGGAGATTAATCCTTTGTCCCTTGATTCATTTGTAAATATTTTCTCCCATTCTGAGTGTTGTGTTTTCGTCTTGTTTGTAGTTTCCTTTACTGTGCAAAAGCTTTTAAGTTTCATTAGGTCCCATTTGTTTATTTTTGTTTTTATTTCCATTACTCTAGGAGGTGGATCCAAAAAGATCTTGCTGTGATTTATGTCAAACAGTGTTCTTCCTATGTTTTCCTCTAAGAGTTATATAGTGTCCAGTCTTACATTTAGGTCTTTAATCATTTTGAGTTTATTTTTGTGTATGGTGTTAGGGAGTGTTCTAATTTCATTCTTTTACCTGTAGCTGTCCAGTTTTCCCAGCACCACTTACTGAAGACACTGTCTTTTCTCCATTGTATATCCTTGCCTCCTTTGTCATAGGTTAGTTCACCATAGGTGCATGGGTTTATCTCTGGGCTTTCTATCCTGTGCCACTGATCTATATTTGTTTTTGTGCCAGTACCATATTGTCTTGATTACTGTAGCTTTGTAGTATAGCCTGAAGTGAGGGAGTCTGATTCCTCCAGCTCCGTTTTTTTCCCTCAAGACTGCTTTGGCTATTCGGGGTCTTTTGTGTCTCCACACAAATTTTAAGATTTTTTGTTCTAGTTCTGTAAAAAATGCCACTGGTAATTTGATAGGGATTGCATTGAAACTGTAGATTGCTTTGGGTAGTAGAGTCATTTTCACAATATTGATTCTTCCAATCCAAGAACATGGTATATCTCTCCCACTGTTTGTATCATCTTTAATTTCTTTCATCAGTGTCTTAGAGTTTTCTGCATACAGGTCTTTTGTCTCCCTAGAAAGGTTT